TTATTATTATTATTATTTGGGATTTTAGGCCTGTATTTCAGGGGTAAGTGAAGATAGATAGGAAGGGTGGGGAGTAAAAAAAACTGAGCGAGGTGTCATGCTGGGTTAAAAGCCAGTAAAAAAAAAAAAAGGGGTTTTAAAAGCAGACAGTGAGGAGGCCTGCCTGATGTGCAAAGGTAGGTCATTCCACATTTTAGGAGCAGCAACAGAGAATGCTCGGTCCCCTCTGAGCGTTCACTTGGACCTCGGTACCTCAAGGAGCAGCTGATCAGCTGACCGGAGGTACCGTGCAGGGGCGTAGGGGTGAAGAAGCTCAGAGAGGTAGGGCGGGGCAAGACCATTCAAGGACTTAAAAACAAATAAAAGAATCTTTAAATGAACCTTAAAGTGCACAGGCAGCCAATAGAGGGAGGCCAGGATGGGTGTAATGCGCTCCCTCTTTCGTGCTCCAGTTAGCAGACGGGCGGCAGCGTTCTGAACTAACTGGAGGCATGCAAGGGAGGACTGGCTAACTCCAAAATAAAGTGCATTGCAGTAATCCAGCTGAGAGGTAATGAAGGCACGGATTGCCATTTCAAAGTGCTGGTGTGAGAGAAAAGGCTTCACCTTAGCAAGCTGCCTGAGGTGAAAGAAACTCGACTTAACTACTGCACTAATTTGGCGGTCCAATTTAAAATCGCTGTCCATCTTAAACCCCAAGTTAGTCACAGCAGACTTCACAAAAACTGCCAAAGGACCCAAATCCACAGGGGAGGATCCACAGGAGCTGCTAGGATGTTGTAGTATGGTTTTAAAGTTTAATCTGTAAATAGAATACATGTTGTGTTGTGATGTTTATGAGTCAGAGAGGCTGAAAACACTCAGATTACCCTACATAAACTGCATGCAATTGGTAATTCTATTGTGTTGTAAAATAAGTATTTAGCAACCAACACCATAGGTTCTGTTAATGGATGGGGATTCCCTAAAATAACATTTGTACAGACGTCCAGCCACGACAGCCTAAATATCTGTCAGATCTGTAATGAAAGCTGTTGTCTGTGTTTTTTCTGTGTTTGACTATTTGTCAGTGTTTTCAATTTATGTATGTATTTTCAGAAGGACAGGTCTGCTGATTGATATACAAACTGATCTGATGCTAATTTACATGAAGATTCATATAAATAGAGGCAGGTCTATGAATGGAGAACACAGACCACCTGTATAGCATTTTAACATGCTACCCTGTCATTAAAACTACTGGAGACTGTGTACAAACTGATATACATAACATTATTAAATCAGTGTGTCTCTGAAACTCGCTGTGCAGAATAAAAGCTGCTGAAAAATGTCCATCTTGACTTCTGCCGAGTAGCACCACGTCCTGCCTGCTGTATCTGGCTTTCAGGCAAGGTGTAGTTCATCTTGAGAGAGCCCAATGTTATGTGTCCCATGTCTGAAAAGGGCTTATATCATACTGTGCTGCATTATCCGTGGAGTTTCTGTGGTGGGTGTGGCTACAGTGTGGCTGTGGTATTACACATCAAGAGCAACACACAACCTGTGTGGCAGGTTGACCCAGTAGGATAAAGATAGGAAAAACAAAACATTTTCCTTGTTTCGTAACATTATGACCAGCTGTATGTCTGTGTCAACTTTATTGTTAGTAGGGTTGTGACTTCCGGAAAGCACATTCATTTTTCTCCCGATTTCCTTCTCTGAAATGTTCCACATAAAGTCAGGACAAAGGTCTAGAAACTAGATCTCATTCAAAAGTCTCAGTGCTTCTATGTTGTATATACGTGAACCTCTATTGTTACTACACAGCTGACACAAGACTCCACAGTCACAGAGTTCTGGCAGTATAGTCCCTGGATCAAATAATGTTCAGGATAAAAATGTACATTTGTCTGCACAGTCATAGCTGGTGTTTAAAGACACGGGCTAACAGTGGGCCAGAAACTGTTCATGTTCAAGAGCAGTTTCAACACAAGATGAAATCCATCCTCATAGGCTCATTACGTCATTCAGGTTGACTTAAATCTTGGGTGGCTCATGTATGTTGTAATTGTCATGCATGCGTGCCACATCAACAGGTAAATTCCACAGCTAGTGTGCCTCTGTGAGTCCTATCTCGGGAATGTAGACAGAGTATTTCCTCATTGCAGCTGGGTGGAGATTCCTGAGTAGACCAGTTTCTCTCACTTGCACTTCCCTATTGGCACAGTGTGGAGGACAGCAATCACAGAGGGAGAGACGGACATTGACAGAACTCTCACCAGCCTCTCATTCAGGAGCAAAAGGTAAGCAGCCTGAAAGTAGAGGATTTATACCATATCTCTGAGAAACCATTCAGCTTTTGTGACCCATAATGAACAGCTTGTGCTGACAGAACCTGGATAAGGTACAAGGAAATATTCCAGATGAACTGTGCCGAATGTTATAGATTTCATCAGTGCAGTTTCTCTGTGACTTACTATTGTCTTTTTTTTTCTTTAAAAAGAAAAAAAAATCCATTCTTATGTTTTAAATTCAATTTTAGACATTTAAGGGGGAGGTTTGGTGTATGAGTTCATATATTTCTCACTGCCCTCTCTCCACCTTTCTCTCTCTCTCATTATTCTCATACTTGCATCTTTGTTATTGCTGCATTGTATGTCTTATTATGTAAAACTGTTATGCAAAGAAGAAAGGATCCAAAAACTGTTTTACATTACATTTTTAGTTTTAAGACATCTAATAATTCGTTCTTATTCTCTTTGTTTTGAGAAGCAATTAAAGTGAAGGACATTGATCTTACTCTGAATTCCACAAATTCAGCCTTAGCAGTTTAAAAAATACAGCCCAGATGTGAAAATCATTTTATCATATAATCTTAGCAAAATTACCAAAACAAAGGCAGAGAGGAACATCAATGTTGTCTGTTTATGTCTGTATGTCTCCTTTATTTTGCTCTGCCGCTGTCCAGAATGCTTTACACGGAGTTACTGCGGTTGTGGGATGAGTCGGTGCAGGCTGTGGATGCCAAGGACTGGAAAAGCGCTCTGGCCAAACTGGAGCAGATCACTGAACCCACTTCTCGCACGTTCTTCAACTCTGCCTCAGCGCACCTGGGCCTGGGACAACTGGACCTGGCCATGAGGGTCAGTCATTTGATGTGGTTCAAATTAAAGAGCCACAGAACACACACCTTGAATTGTCTTCTTGTACTATCTACTGACAAATTGTTTTCTGATCCTTGTTAATCATATTTTAACTAGTTAGTTAAAGAAAATTGACTTTTCTTTATCATTTGCAGTCCATAGCTTTAGAATTGAAGGTTTCTGTGTGGCTAAGTTTATATTTTTTCCAGAATTAGTAATTTTTAATTGCAATAATATTTACATTATTATACTATCAGTACAACAAAATGATACACAATGCAAGATTATTTAAATGAATTTATTAAGACTTAAAAATAGCTCAACAACCAAATCACATGAAATTCGACTGGCAGCTACTGACATCTGCTAATGTATCTACCTTAAGCAGGAGTTAGCTGTTTTTTTCCAACATGAACTTTTGTGGCCACTTCTATTTTTAATTATGAGGAATAATAAACTGATAAACCACAATGCAAAGTAAATATTTTTCACTTACAAATAAACTAGGAGTAAATTAATACATTTAGCTTATACCAATAGCTAAGGCTTGCTTTTCTATTTCAACAGCTGGTCTTCATCTGAAACAGCAATCTGACTTTAGCTGTGCAGTTAGCTGCTTTGTAGCCAGCTATAGTTGTAAACTTTAGATACAGTATACAACAGAGTATGTCCTCCTGCGTTTCAAAAATTCTAAACTGTTAAGCAATATTTGAGCTTCTGCTGAATTTACCATGTTAGAAATACAGGCCCCACAGTAGCAACACAGTGCAACAAAAGCTTAAAAGAGAGGTCATGAAATTTCTGCAGAGATATTTTGCCATTTTTTACCTCTACCACGCTCCACTTGTCTCATTAAAATGCCCAAAGGTGTTCTGTAAGGTTTAAGTCAGGTGACATTTTCGGTCAGGATTTCTTTAGGTACTCGTGATTTTGGCATTGTGGTTTAGATAGTTAACATGCTGGCATATTCCTCCTCTGCCAAGCTTCTGCAGACTGTGAGCAAGGGTTGTGGTGTATCCACAGACATTCATGGTGCCCCCAATAAATGCCTTCTCCTCAACACCTGTTGTACTCATGCAGCACCATGTCAACACAGTCCCACCTCTGTGCATAACCATCAGGATTATGCATTTGCTGTGGCAATCCTAACCAGGTCCATGCAAAGTTTGACCATGTCCAAAGCAAACTAGTCTAACTTGCTGTCATTTGACCAAATAATGTGCTGTCAACATTCATTCTTTTTATGTTGTTCAGCAGGTTTTCATCTTGCAGTTTTGTACAGAGGTGCAAGCTAAGGTTTTATCTTTGATGCCATCTATAGAGATTTTGGTTTTGCACTGTCCCTCACAACACCTGAGATTTGACAGAAACTCTAATTTCCATTGATAAACCCTGTGCCAAGTCTGCCTTGTCTGTCAGGTTTTCAGAGGTAGATTGTGAATGTAATGCAATGTATGTGGTGTCATTTTAGATAGACGGCCACTGCAGCTCTGGTTAGTGCGACTATGACTCACTGTTTACCTAATGATTACTGCTGAAAATGGGTTTCCACTGATTTTTCTTTAGTCACCAATCCTCCTGAATATTTTTGAATTCTTCTGGAAATTCTTTTTCATGTGAAGCCATAATGTAGACGTTTGTAGGTTGTTGTTTCCCCACAATCTGATGCTCTAAAGAGCTTCTGTGATCCATGGAAAGTAACTGAATGAATGTAGCTGGATGTCTTTTGTTTCCAAAGGTATGCATGGAAACCAGTCAGATCCAGAGGGCTGTACTACCAAGTAACACTAGTGGGTTAGTGAGGTATGTCGAGCTTAAAGTCAGAGTTTTCAGTGTCACGAAGGTGGCTCTCTTTTTACCTGCTAGATCTCCATGGTAACTGATGCTGTGTAGCTAACCTGGTTTGGAGCAAATTTTGTTCAGAATTTCGGACATAAATCGGCTTGAAAGAGCGTCTCCCTTTAACCAAATCGTCCCCTGACTATTATTTATGAGCGATACACATTCTCAGCTGAGGGAATATTAGATTAGATTAGATTAGATTAGATAGAACTTTATTGATCCCTTTGGTGGGGTACCTCAGGGAAGTTGTTGAATATGTTTTATCTGCAAACATGCTGAGTCGTGCGTTACTAATATCACTGAATGAAGCCGTGTAGTTACAGTATCAGTAACCCTAACCACAACCCTAACCCTACACCTGAAAAGTAAGCCTAAAAAACCTACTAAAAGTACTTCATGGTTTTTAGGGGCCTTGTCTACTATTAGTGCAGTTGTTGACTACATTGTAACAAGAGTGTCTATGTTGGAGCAGCAGCTGTTTCATGAGCAAGTCAATAAAACTGTGTCCACTGTACATCATCTGGATATTACAGCTACTGAATGCATACAATGTAAAAAAAAACAAACAAACTACAAAAAAAAACAGAGCATATTTTAAGCTTTTGCTTTCTGAATTTGTCTTGTCCCTTTTCTAATGTCCAGGCTTTAGACTTCAGCATTTCAAAGGATGAACGTCTTGCTGTGGGCTTCTTCCAAAGAGCAGCCGTGATGATGCAGATTAACAGGTAGAAGGCAGCACCATTTTCAAATACTGACTTTCAGTCTACACACACACACACACACACACACACACACACACACACACTCACACTCTATCAACTTGTAGTGACGGCGACATTAATAAAGGCATTGATAGTTTTGTTTAAGCATTTGCAGTATAGTTAGGACATAATGGGAGTCTAGGTTAATGCAGAACCACAGAAATACAGCATGGGAGGACACCCCCAAAACAAAATTCTCATGTTATGTTACATTTTTCCAACTTTCCTAATGATGGACAACAGTTACAACAAACCAATGTTAATGCAAAACACTGCACAGTTTTGACTTCCTCAGCACTCTTAGGCCTGAGCACTTTCTTAAGATGTCTGAAAGCAACAGTTTCACAAATATATGTAAATCATGACTGTCATATTTAGAACAGCTCTATTCCTCAGGTACTCACTAGGAATATCCAAGCCATGGTCAAGAATTGTCCCTCTCAGTGATGAAGTTTTTTTTTTTTCAGTCTAGGTAACTGTCATCTCTTGCTACATTCATTTACACTTGTACAGTGCAGTAGTAAAGTTTTGGTACATTTTTGACCAGCGACACCTTTTCATATATTTTTTGAATTATATTGTATTAGATTATCTACAACTGTGATGGCATCTGGGGAGGCCAATCAGCCAGCCCAGCCGCTCATGCTGGCGTATTTCTTGGCTGAGCACAATCATTTTCTTTCACAGAGACCTTTGTTCAGTATGAGACTGTCAGGCTACCAGGAAATTACTGTGTCTGACAAGAAAACATATGACACCTAAACCACATGTTGTTGTGTGTTTGTGTAGAGCCCAAGATGCTGCCTTTTCATATCAGTTCATAAAATGAACTGTTTTCATCCATTCTCGAGCATGTCTGTGTTTTATCTGCATTGCTCTCTCTTCAGGTTGGAGGAAGCTCTATCAGACTGTGTCTGGACACAGAAGCATATGAGAGGCAATGTGGTCATTGACTACAAACAGCTGGGACTGAGATTCAAACTCTACAGTTGGCAGGTCAGACATTCAGAGTCACACACACACACACACACACACACACACACACACTATCAAATTGGGAGATGTCAGTCTCCAGAATGCTTTTTATGACATATTATGGTGAAATAAAAGGGAAATCCCCCACCAGGTCTGTCAGTACTGCAGAATGAGAAATGAAAAACTGCATTCATCTCAGTTGTACAGTTCAAATGTCACACACACCTGGGAACTAACAAAGCCTCATTGATGGAGGCTGAAGAAGTGGTTACACAACCTCACATATTTCTCGAAGTACAGATAAGACACTTGGAACTTCCCACAGACAGTGCACCTTTTCCACCAATACGCTAGCATCAACATGATATTAAAAAATCACATCATCATTGTAGGACAACTATTTCTGCCCAAATGGGTTTTGAATGTTTGTTTGAAATTTATGACACAATCTAACTGATATTTGACCAGCAAAGTACTCATTTCAGATTAATGTAACAATGCAACGTATGAAGCAACCCTTGTTGCGCTTTCAAGAAAAACTTCAGGAATTATCTGGGATATTAGTTAAATTGAAAGTTATTTATAAAAGCTCAGGATTCAAACATCCGCTGTGACAGGTGCCGTCTAGATCCACAATAATAACACTGACCCTATTTTGCACAAGTAAAATCACACAAATACACACGTACAAGAGAAAACAAAATGTATGTGTGTGAATTTTAGAAAAATTGTCATACAACTGAAAATGTAATTGTAAAACTAAAATGATTGCCCTTTTTGAATTTGGCCAAAGATCTAAAAGACCCAACTTGTGGAAACCAAGCTTTTTTTTTTTTTTTTTTTTAACCTT